CACAATATATATTGTCTTGTGTTTTGTTATATTCCTTCTGGGTATTGGCATTGTGAGCCTGCAGAAGATAAGCACAAGACTGCTTTCATAGTTGGTCCTCTTGGGTTCTGAATTTAACGCTATGCCATTCGGACTTACACAAACCCCTGCTACCTTTCAGATGCTTATGGAACGGTGTATAGGTGATATGAACCTAATGCAATGTCTTATTTATCTTAATGATATTATTGTATTTTCCAGTCTTTTCAAGAACATTTTTGAGTGTATTTACCAAACTCCGTCAAAATAATCTTCGTCTTAAACCCTGTATGTGTCATTTTCTTCAAACTATCAAGTACTTCGTCACATTTTTCCTAGGAAGGAATTCATACTGATCTAGATAAAATTTCTTTGACTTCTTGGCCAGTTCCTCAAACATAGAAGTACGAAAATTTGTTGGTTTTTGTGGTTACTTCGCAGGTTTGTTAAGGATTATGCAAAAATTTACAAACCTTTAACTGATCTACTTATAGGTCATTCAACTAATAAGAATAATAAAGATTCTCCAGTATTTTCGTGAGAATCAGATATACAATCATCTTTTCAACGATTAATTGATTATCAAACTTCTTGTCCAGTTTTAGCATACACTGATTTCAAAAAAACCTTTTAAGTTTGAAGAAGATGCAAGTAGTTTTGGTCTCGGTGCAGCTTTATTTCAGGAACAATATGGTCACAGGAGAGTTATTTCGTATGCCAGTCGCAGCTTGTCAAGTCTGAACGATTGTATCCTACACATAAACGTGAGTTTTTTGGGTTAAAGTGGGCTGTATGTAAAAGGTTTCATGATTATCTTTATGGAAATAAGTTCAAGACAATAATCCACTGACATATGTTCTTTCTTCAGCAAAGTTGGATGCAGGTCATCTTTGGTTGGCTGAACTTTCAACATGACTTTTCAATTGAATGTTGGCCTACAACCAGGAAAAAGCCTTCGATAGGCTCAACAGGACCTACCTCAGTACCCTTCTGGATATACATATACCCGGTATGCAAAATTCTGTTGCTGATGGTCTTTATCGTCTTCCTTCAAAACATGTAAGTAATGATGCAGTTTCAGCATTAAGAAACCAGGATTGTCCTCAATTTTTGGTAAAAGGAAACACTTGTAATCCATTTTCGATATATATATACGAGTGTTCAATGTAATTAACGACTAATAAGCGACCACCTTCATTACGCGACCAGCGACCGTGTATTTACACTCTCGTGAAATCATATGGAGTCAATTAAGCGACCCTTATTAACTCCCTTGATTAAACATCACGTTGTTTCACACATCGGTGAGATTAATCGAAATTATCGCTAATCGGTCTAAGGATCAATTTTATAGCTTGTTAATGATTTAATGTCAGTCTATTATCGATATAAAAAGGCAGCTAAGCAAGAGCCATTCATTTTCAAAATGTCGTAAAGTTTTAACATTAAATGAAAGGGTCAAGGTCCCATTGAATGGTGGGAAATAGGGAAACAAAAAATCAAAGATCTCACCATCAAGTACTCCATATATTTTCACATTTACAAATGCAATAAAAATCTCATGGTCACACAAGTACTTTTCTTCACCGAAAACTCATGTTTGGAAACACAGTATAAACAAACTTCTAAAAATAGACAATAAAATTAATCCGTTCCAACTTAATCTCAACGAAAAGGACATAGAAAAATTAGGGATAAGAAACACATTCATTGAAAAAATACTAATTGCTTATTCCAAAATAAATTACTCAAATAACATATCTAAGGATAGCATAATTTGGTATAATTCTAACATTAAAGTCAATAAAAAAGTTATATTTTATAAAAAAAATGGTTCAATAATAATATTTGTAAAGTGTCAGACCTATTAGATGAGTCGGATAACTTTTTCTCGTACAATGATTTTTGCAAAAAATATAATAGCCTCAAAGTAGACTTCGTGACATATCTGGGTTTAATAACTGTGATTAAAAAATATACAATATCGGAAAAAGAATTACTAAAAGTTTATAGCTGTAAAGAAGCATACACTGAATTACGTAAACCACTTAACAAGCAAATTAAATTTGGAGAAAATAAATGGATGAATCTCATTTGTGAACATAAGACTCAATTCTATTTTCGAAAAATTAAACAGATTAAGAACAGCTCTATCCTTCAAAATTTTCAATTCAAATTATTACACAAAATTTTGCCTATCAACTCTTTTCTCCATAAGATAAAATATATTACTTCAACTCTGTGTACACTATGTGATAAAGAAATAGACAGTTTAGAACATAACCTCTTTAACTGCAATAACAGCCAAACATTTCTAAAAGAACTAAACCAAAACGTTGAACCCAAAATCAAACTAGACCTATCTAGTGTAATATTTAATTCACTGGAAAATCAAAACCCCTCTGTAGAGTCTTTAATATGCAAAATACTATATACACTGCTGTAAATATAAATCTCGCCAGCGAAACCTACCACAATTCTTAGAAAAACTAAATAATCAAAAAATTGTAGAAAACGAAGCTGCTCTAATTAACAATAATACAGAAAACACAATACGAAATGGTCAATAATAAATACTGTAACACAATTAGGCTCAAACTCTTTACACCCTATATCCTCTAATCCTATTCTCTACTCTTCTACCCCCAATTTTGATGAAATTCGGACGATAAATAAGAAAGTTGGTAATGCGCATGCGCATTACAAAAATTAATATATCCATCAAATTTAGATTTCGATTATACACATGCATACCAAGTTTGATGAAATTCGGATAAGAAATAAGAAAGTTAGTAATGCGCATGCGCACTACGCAAATTCGATATATCCATCAAATTTAGAATTGGATTATACACATACATACTAAGTTTGGTGAAATTTGGACAAAAATAAGAAAGTTGGGAAATTAAGTGGGGGTTTACCTTTAATGTGCTCCCGTAAGCTTAACTTACTGTATAACACGGTTCAATCCATCCTATTTATATACCTTGAATGGTCACAAAACATTTTAAAGAAATATAAAAGGGAGGGTGTCTTTAAAACTACTTAAACTTTGATTTATATTGGGGTTGACAGCCAGGTTAATCTAATTACCCGATTTATCTAATAATAGTCCCATGTTAAGTGAATGGGTTTTCGAATTTGCATGTAAGGCATACATGTTATATATCTCTGGAAAGATCTCAGCATTATGAATCCGAAAGAATTATTGCTCTATCTCTAATAGGGCACCTGTTAGGACACTTTAAAGATGCATACTCCACTTTCAGTGACACACATACAAACGGAACCACGTGTCGGACATAAAAAAAATTAACATCATCTAAAAGCTGAAGTCAATAGTAATTTTCAATGTAAATATCAACGTCATCCGAGGCCAAGTTTCTTTGGTAGAAGCGTTCAAAGTTTTAAGGAAATTGCAACATTTCCTTTAATGTGACTTTGACACGATCAAATGCCATAAATTGAATCCATTTATTAAGTGCTTTAATAATCTGAAAGTGGTATGTCGCTAAATCAATTAGGGTTTGAGATACAGCACTGCAAAAATGCCAAATTGACCATATTTAGACCCCTATAAAATCAGTTGTTGTTTGACCCCAAAGGTCACGAGAGGGTCAAGGACAGCCTTTATCACTATGGTCAATATAAAGGTCATCAAAGGTCAAGGTCATGAGTTATAAGCCTTCAAACTTTGAAAAAAAAAAACATCAGGTCGTACAAAAAAGGCAAAACCGAAAATCAAAATTATGCTTCTCAAGGATTGTAGATAGACATTACACGTATCGTATGACACAGAATAGCAATTTCTGCAAAATGAGGCAAACCAAAATGGCGGCCTAAATGTTACTTCCGGTGCGAATTTTGAGTTTAATAAGTTTGTATTAAGGCTGGTAATATAATGCATTATTTTTGACATAACTCAATTTCACGGGAAGTGATACCACCGGAAGTACTCACATCGAAACCGGAAGTGATAAAAAAATTTTGAATGTGTGCTTTTATTTCACTAAGCTGTCAGTCTACACCATGTAAGTTTCATGAATAATAACCGAAATAGTATTTTTCGATTAATTTCGGCAAAATAAAAATCGAAAATTTTCAACTGCTATCATATGTCCTTTGTTACAAGAATTACGATGAAGAAAACCCCATCAAAATCGGTTGATAAACACGCCCTCTAAGGTCCATTTTCCGTTTGTTGCTAACGTTGCTCAGAAAGTTTTCAATCAATACGAAAACAAAGCAGGGCTTTCGCTTACGAACGCCCTGCAAAAAAAAAAAAATTTCCACCTCTCGTTTGTTTTCCATCAAACAAATCTAGATGTTTTAGAACGACAGAAAATGTATATAGAAAACCATGAAAACCTAGACATTGAGTATTAATAAGAAAAAATAAACAAAGCCATAGAAAAAATAAGATATTTAGAACTAAAACTAAACAAAGGTTATCACGGATTGCCGCGATCTCATAGACTTTAACGTAACATTTTTAAAAGGTTACGTCGTAATGTAACTAAAGGAACGTAATTGCAAGTGGCAACAGTTATTACGTTATGCTGATTTGTACTTAACGTCTTTTAGTCAAAGTAAAGATAGTTCTTTGAATCAACGTCTTATCATTTACACAACAACGAAGTCCTAACCTACTAAACCCAAACATTGGTGCCGTGACCAGGATGGAGAAACAAAGAGCTATTCGTGGCGGACACAGAAGCGCCGTTACCAGATTAATCCACAAGACAGACGAGAGAATTGCCGAAAATGATATTTCCGATCAAGAACTTTGTGCAATAGCTGAAACACTTGAGAAGAAAAGGGACGTTTTACAGAATTTAGACAACCAAATTATTAACATTACGGAAGTTGAAGAAATGGAACACGAAATCTTGGATACGAATGATTACACTTTACAGATGGAAATCACAATTCGCAAATGAAAGGATATGCTTTCAAATTCAAAGGCAAATCAACCACGACAAATGGTGAGTGATTTTACGCAACCTTCATCCCACCAATCTACTATGCTTAATCGGAATAGCAATCGAACTCATGAAGATTTAGATACAAACCCGTCTTTACACTTTCCCGTAATCTCGTCAAATTTTTATCACAGACTACCTAAACTAGATTTACAGACATTTTCTGGGGATATTTTAGCATGGCAAACTTTCTTGGATTCATTCCAAACAACAGTACACACAAACCCGTCTCTCACGAATGTCCAAAGATTCAGCTATTTAAAATCTCAACTCATGAAGCATGAAGCAGAGCAGTGTATCGCAGGACTAGCCCTAACAAGTGCCAACTATGAACAAGCCATTTTATTATTGAAAGAACGCTTCGGACAAAAACAGCATATTATTAATGCATACATGCAAAACTTATTGGAATTGCCCAACCCATCATTGTCGCCTGCAAGTTTAAGAAATTTCTACGACAAAATGGAAACAAGTATACGGGGACTAGAGTCACTAGGTCAATCTCAAGATAGGTTTGGATCACTACTTGTACCGATAATCTTTAATAAACTTCCAACTGAAATGCGCAAAACTCTGACTCGAGAACACGGTAAAAACAGCTTGGATATAAAGTCACTAAGAGAAGCCATAGGCAAAGAAGCATATGTGCAAGAAGCGGGACATTTTAAAATGTCTGACACTTTCACACCTACTGCATCATTCCATACAGGTGCCACATCAAGGTTTCAGACTTACAAACAAAAAAACACAGGAAATCAGAACAAACCTCGTAAGGTTAAAACATGTATTTTTTGTCAAGAATCACATTCTGCAGGAGAGCGCACAAAAGTATCTACACATGAAAAACGTTATGCCGGCTTTGTTTTAATTGCTTTGGAAGCCACAGAGTTTCAAATTATACGCCAAAATATACATGTCGTAAATGCAACAGAAAACATCATACTAGCTTATGTAACCAAAATCATCTCACAGATAACCAAACAAACACAGCCGTAAATACTGTGAATAGTGAAGTAAATACACAGACAACAACTCTCTACACGTCGTAAGAAAATACCGTCAAACAGAGGACCGATATACTTTTGAAAACAGCTGTATCACCAGTTTCCGTGGATAATTATTCCGTTGAAGTAAATATTCTTCTAGACGAAGGATCACAGAAGTCTTTCATCACAGAGGATCTAGCCAAAAAATTTAAAATAAAACCATGTGGAGTAGCTACACTCAGTATCTCTGCCTTTGGAGAGGTTAATCGGAACGTCAGAAATCTTGAAAAGGCTATCGTTAACTTGAAACTCAATATGGAGGAAAAATAGCAATGGAAGTACCTATAGTATCAACAATCGCCGCACCACTTTCCAATCGCATACATAATGAAGCGTCTAAGTTGCCATATTTACAAGGTCTAAAATTAGCCCATCCTGTAAGTGAGGAAGATCATTTCAACTTAGGAATGTTGATTGGAGCAGATTTTTACTGGGACATTGTTGAAAATAAGATAATACGAGGGGAGGGTCCCACTGCCGTCAAATCCAAACTTGGATATTTATTGTCTGGACCAATGCCAACAACGATAGGATCAACAGTATCAACTTCTATGATGAATGTTTTAGTACAACACAAGAAGGAAGAGGTAGATTTAGAGCGCTTTTGGAAATTAGAATCTATGGAAATAACATCTGATGAAACTACACAGAAAGATTCAAATTTTTACATACGAGTCAACTATAGAATATCGAGACAATCACTACATAGCAAAGTTACCATGGAAAGAAGATTTTCCAGAGTTACCTAGTAACTATAATGTAACCAAAAACCGAACGCCGAGTCTGATCAGTAGACTGAACAGGGAACCGGAAACAATGAAATTATATGGACAGATCATCGCCGATCAGGAAAAACAAGGATTTATAGAAAAGGTAGAAGAAATCAAATATTCAGATCACAAAGTACATTACATACCTCATCATGGTGTGAAGAAAGACTCAGCTACAATACCAATTAAAATAGTCTACGACTGTAGCTGCCGAGAATCTAATAAGAAGCCCAGCCTTAATGACTGCCTCAAGACAATATCACCAGAGATGAACAACTTAACAGGTATACTTGCAAGATTTCGATTAAACAAATATGCAGTTACTACCGATATAGAGAAAGCTTTTCTGCAAGTTGAATTACATGAGGACGATAGAGATGTCACAAGATTTTTCTGGTTTGAAAATCCAAACGACCCGACCAGTCAACTTACTACTTACCGTTTCAGGGTAGTTTTATTTGGCACCACTGTCTAGTTCTCCGTTCATTTTGAACGCAACAATCTTGAAACACTTGAAATTAAATCCTTTCCGCTATACAGATTTATTGAAGAATGGTTTATATGTAGATAACGTTTTATCAAGTTTTTCAGATGAAGAAAGCTTACTTTCTTTCTATCAAGAATATAGACAGCTATTTACAGAGAATGATTTAATCTGCGATCGTGGTCCTCAAATAACCCGAAATTGTGTGAATAGCTGATACTGAAGGTTGCCTTGACAGCGATAAAATAGTAAAGATTTTAGGATTGAGATGGAACAATGAAATTGATACTATTTCATTTCAAGATAACTTGGAATTTGATAAAGAGAGTTGTATAAACGTGAAATTCTTCAACAGTCTTCTAAAATATTTGATCTACTTGGAATACACAGTCCAGTAACTGTCCGCGCTAAGATCCTAATGCAAACACTATGGGAGAGAAAATATGAATGGGATCAACCTTTACCAGATAAGATAAAGATCAAATGGATGGAAATAGTTCACGATCAACGAAAAGCGAGTGCGATACACATACCAAGATGCTATTTTTCAGAAGAATCTACTCGAAAAGATGCAACACCAATTAATGTAAGTACTACATGTATTTACGAATGCAAGCCAGAGAGCATATGGTGCATGTGCATATGTTGTAAAGGGGAATCAGTCTTCACTTGTTATGTCAAAAAACAGAGTAGCTCCACTGAAACAAATAACTTTACCTAAACTGGAATTAATGGGAGCCTGACTAGGAGCACGATTAGCACAGCATGTAATAGAGACATATAGCCAAATCGTACTGAAATGGATATCGTCAACAAAACCATTGAAGAAATTTATAGAAAATCGGGTGAAGGAAATAAAGGGAATTGTCAAAACGCAACAGTGGAGATATTGTCCGACGGATATGAATCCCGCGGATTTACTTACAAGGGGCACCACAGCTAACAAAATTACAGAAAATACATTTTGGACCGACCTGGATACCAAATGAAGATAACTGGCCAAACTGGAATGGTAACATGTTTACGACGTTAACAGCTACAAACGAAGATGAAGAACAGCAAGATTTAACTTTATCGGTGGCAACAGGGCCCCGTTCCACTAACATTCTTACGCTTAAATTTTGCGTAAGTTTATCTTACGAAAGAAAAGAACAAAATTTTCCGTTTCACTAAAAAACTTACGCAAAAAAAGTTCGTAAGTTTTTCTTAAACTTACGACAGGGTTTGGCTGTCGTAAGTTGACGTAACTAATGTAATGTCCATAGCAACGTCAACGTCAAAATGGCAGAACACCTGTTGTTCGGACTGCGTAGGCCGAGAGAAAGAGTTTTTCATCCGAGGATGAATAATTTGATTCGTTTGGATGATGTGGATTTTAAGAAACGTTATCGGTTAACCAAAGATGTCGCGAAAACGTTGGTTGATGATTTGCGAGAAGATCTCTCTAAATGTGGAAGATCACGCGCAGTTTCGCCAGAAATACAGTTGAGCTAAACATTAATTTTTATGATCTTCTAAGCCTTATTTATAAGTGATACAAGTCTGTGATAATGATTTTTATCATTCTTGGCAAGCTTGATGTGAGCTGATAATCTCTTTTATAAAGGACCCCACTGGAAATAAATTTTTTTTTACTTTTGCGGGCCATCCTAAGGCTTCCGAACTGAATCTAGTCTTTTTCAGAACATTAGCCTAATCATTTAAAGTTTAATGCTCATGATAATTGTCAATTATTTCTGTGTCTGTTCCACCCCTAATCAATAAGTGGGCTGAAACTACTAAACTAGTATAGAAAGTAAGAAAAATTCGGATGGCATTCGGTGATAACCTACATTATACATATAACTACATAATCTAGACAAGGCCAGTGGCAGTAGGATAGGCCTACCTTGTCTACTGACCGTGAAGTGGCTCCGACATCTGACACTGCCGAAGCCACCTTCTCCCATTCCTTGACTTTTTCATGATAAGAGATCCCGTACTTCTTCACCACCTCGTAGACCAAAATTTCAACTTCTAAAGAAGTGAAATTCGGGTTACGAGGTAGTGAAGAAGTAACACCGCCACAAGGTAGGCCTACTCCGTTGTAGGACGCCATTTTGTAGTCTACTAATGCTATCACAAATCACGTGACGCGAGACACGACGTCATTTACGAAACGTCCTCAACTTATCTTACGAAAGAAAGATCGTAAGTCCTTTAGTGAAACAGGCGTAAGTTTTTGCGTAAGATTAACTTACGAAAAAATATTTTGCGTAAACTTACGCACTTTAGTGGAACGGGGCCCAGATATTTCTGTAAATGATCGCGGAATTAATAAAATCATTAATCTCACAAGACATAGTAGTCTTAAGAAGCTATTGATGATAACTGCCTACGTGTATAGATTTATTATGAATTGTAGAGGTGAAAGGAAAGACAGAAATACTTCATCGATAACCGTATGGATTAAAAATACACAAGAAACATACTTTCCTGACTTGCTTACACAGAACAAACACCCGCCAATAGCTAAGCAGCTGAATATTTATAAGGATGAAAAGAGAATATTAAGATGTGAAGGGAGGATCGGTAATGCAAGGATAGCGCAAAATACCCGTATTTGTTACCTACCAAACACCCAGTTACATCTTTAATAGTTTTGGATGCTCACAAAAACCAAAACCACAGTGGAGTAAATAGTACTGTCACACACACATTCGTCAAACATACTGGATTCTGAGGATACGTCAATGCGTCAGATCCATCTTAAGGAAATGCGTCACATGCCAGAAAGTCACAGGAAACCATACTCAATTCCGGACCCCCCACCATTACCAAAAGAAAGAGTACACGATGCTGTGCCGTTTACAGTATCTGGAGTGGATTTTGCGGGGCCGTTATATGTGCGAAATAGCGAGAACTCTAAAACCAAAGTTTACATCTGTTTATTTACCTGTGCCACAACAAGAGCCATTCACCTTGAGATCGTTCCGAATTTAAGCGAATCGTCGTTTATTTTAGCATTTAGAAGATTTTCCAGTCGAAAATCGCTTCCAAGAACCCTCATATCTGATAATGCGTTAACTTTTATTTCTGCCAGTAAGGAAATCAAAAATTTGACAAATTCACCATTATTACATGAAAATCTTAACACTTATGGAACTAAATGGAAATTCATTCCGAAAAGAGCCCCCTGGTTCGGCGGATTTTGGGAACGCATGATAGGTCTCACAAAAGTTAGTCTAAACAAAATGCTGGGGAGATCTTACATAGATTTAGAAACTTTACAAACAGTAATTTCTGAAATCGAAGCTACTTTTAATGATAGGCCTTTAACTTATGTTTCGCCCGATTCTACAGACCCAGAACCGTTAACCCCCTCTCACCTTCTATATGGTCGTAGAATTACTTGTCTACTGTACCCATCGACGCGTTGTGGTAATGAAGAACATTATGTACCACTTACTAAGAAGATATTGAATAAGCTTTTACAAATCCAGATTGAAATTATTGAACATTTTCAAAAAAGATGGAGAAACGAATATTTGACTTCATTACGTGAATATCATAGAACGAGCGGTAACAACAATCGAATAATTCAAACAGGTGATGTGGTTCAGATTTATGATGATGCTCCAAGGAACACATGGAAATTAGCTGTCGTTGAAGGATTATTATATGGAGACGACAAACTTGTCAGAGCCGTTAATTTGT